TGGCTTTTGTTTTGTTTGTAATTTACTTTTTAAACGTCCCTCTTTAAATGACATAATAAGTTGTAGTTAGACGCTAGAAGTTCTTGCGTGCCTGATGAAAAGCGTTCTACCACGGTGATTTCTCAAATTGTTTCGCTACGAGCCACCAAGGCATGATGCCAAGAAGCAATCTTGAATCCCCTGCCTCTCATCCCGTGCAGCCATCGCGAGCCTCAATCCTTCCCTGTTCTCTTCGGTATCAGGGCTGGAGAATCACATGACGCTTACGCAACGAGAACAACATGCGTAAGAAAGGTCACGCACGCATGACGAGCCCCAGCCATACTTGTGCACGTATGCCCCATCGATGTTGTGTCGTTACGGCGTTTTTTGTTGTGTATTACCCGTTTCTGTAGGATGGATCATTGAGTGCGAGTACTTTAGGAGAGGCTGACAAGGATCGTGTATTGTGACCACGACACACCACGTCACTCCGCTGAAACTGCGCTGAAACCGCTAAGCGTTGTCAGGGATGGCGAAGGCACGATGCAAGAACGACGAGAGGACGAACGCAAGCGAAATGGAGTAGTAGTAGTAGTAGTAGTAGTAGTAGTAGTAGTAGTAGTAGTAGTAGTAGTAGTAGTAGTAGTAGTAGTAGTAGTAGTAGTAGTAGTAGTAGTAGCAGTAGTAGTGTGGTTTAACGCAAAAAAACGATATGAATATGAGGGTTGCCGTAGTGGAGGTTTCCGCAAATTTTGACGATCTGGTGTTCTTTGACGTGCACTGACATTATGCAGTACACGGCATCTACTTTTTCGCATCAATTTAGATGTGACCATGGAGGCCACAATCGAACGCGCAGCATTAGGGTTAGCAGCGGAGCACCCTATAGCGACTGGTCCACCGAGGTGGACGCGAAACGAAGGCCGATTAGTGAAAAGCATCTAGAGGCTAAAATAAAAATAATAACAAGCTGAGATTCCATTCACGTTTTTTATTACTTTTGTCAGCTTTTATTCATTTTACTGATTTTCAAAGGGCAGTGCGAAAACACAGGGCAAAGAAGGACATAAAAGACCTGTGTCTTTTTATTCCCTTTGTCTTTGCGCTTCCTTTCCAAAATGATATGAAGCAGCTAGCCCAAATCAAAGTACTCCTCATTCATGCTACGCAATAAAACACACAAATTGTACATGCCAAGTAGAGTAATGCCACATTGAACGCTCTTGATGACATACCATTTAAAATGTAGGATATAATGAGGAAGCTGGAATGTTCTGTCAGTTTTTCTACATATTGATAGCATTTAACGAAGTTTTGACGAAGAGCTTTTGGTACGCGACGTTAGCCCACCAATGTCACGCAAAAAAGCGACGTAAAGACAGGACCATTCCTTGCTGTACGTCATTCCCTTGATTTTGGGGCGCACGCCCGCGAGAAGGGCAAGTGGCATTGTTAGAAATTAAGCATTTTCCCGTGACATGTTATTTTATGAATCTCAACAAGAATGATTCGGAGTTCCCAATGCACCATTACGCTTGTCAGCTCGAAATTCCCAAACCTAGTGAGGGGTCATTTAAGGTATTCGCCAATAGGGAAGAAATTTGTCTTACGCAATTAGACCTAGCATCCCTCTCTTCTGGGGTATCAGTGGCCTGGTTATTTGCTCCTGCGCTGCCCTTCCCAACCAAAAAAAAAGAAACCAAAGTACACCAAAGAAAGTGTTAATTGATTGGTAGGCACTTGACGCACCATGCTAGACAATAAAACAAAGAACCACATACTGCCAATCGCGCAGGAATTGCATGCCTATGTTCAATCGTTAATACCTTTCTGCTATCTTGAACAGTATAATTTTTTGTTGCTTCTAATCATAGATACAAGTCACCGACGTCATTAGTTTGTGTTATTTCAATTTTTGTATAAATTTATTGTGCCGATAAATATAATTTTGAGGGCCTAACACACTGTTTTACTTGCCTGTCTTTGGCACTTAAAACACACTTTTTAGTGCCTAAAAATCCGGCCTCTGCTGATAAAGCAGCCTAGCGCAAAAAGATTGCTTGTAAGTTACTTCACAGCAAAGTTCCCGGAGTTTGAGCGGTTTTTTTTTGTATGTTATGAAAGTCAAGGCTTCCGCTTTCGTATTCCTAAATGAAGTGTCATACATACTCAAGTCATTTTGTCTGCCCCCTTTCCTCATCCCGGCTGTGGCTTAGGTGCATCGAACCTCTTTCTTGCTTTACCAGCAGGTCAACTAGCGTTGTTACTCAGTTCCACGCAAAATGTCAGGAACCTTATGCATTGCAGCCTGGGTTAGATACCTTTGCCCAGAACACTGTTTTAAGGTCACCTTATGCCTTTCTTCGTCCTATGTTGAACTGACAAAGTAAATGCCAGCTACAACTATAGAAAATAAAACTGTGAGAACTGTCAATTCTTCATATGAAGAGATAATGTAAGTTCATATTCAAAACATGCGTACGATAATTGCCTAATGAAAATCAGGCATTGAACGACTACGGAGATGAAAAAAGGGAACTGCAGCGTATCGAAGCCTAAGCTTGGGAGTCAAAAACGGAGCGAAAAAAGAGACTGGCTTTGTAGCATTAAAAAAACAAGAAAAAACAATCATAGTACTACGCGCTAGGTGACCTACTAGCGTTTGTGTATATTTCTTGTGCCTGTTTTTTTCCTACAAACCATCTCCAGGAGAAAACTAACAGTCCGCTAGCAACCGTATGACATCAGCGAATGGTCTCGTGGCGATGTGCCTCTCGCCGCAATTCTAAGTATGCGTGAGAATTAAACAGTTGCGCAAGTAGGCGATATTTTGCCTTTAGTCGACACATATATGCCGCGATTTCCTATTGCGCGTCGCACAGAGGCTACGATGGCCAAGCTTTCACCCTCCACGTGTGCGCGCTTCGCAGGAAGTGAGCCTTGGGGGGCCGCGCTGCGCGGTGTGGCGGTGGTAGTAGTTATCCCTCTTTTTCCCATTACTCTATCTGCGTGCCAATGGCATGGCCGTAGCAACGGTGCGCCACTGGCTAATCTTGGTGGTCATCCTTATATAAAGAAAGAACTTCTGAAACAGCTGATGTGTATTTATTGAAGGTCAAGGGCAGATTACTGAAGCGTTCAATTAGGTCCCAGGAAGGGTCTCCCGTGATACTCTTGTTGTGTGGCACACAACAGGAGTATCACAGAACAAGATTCTGAATACTCTTGTTGTGTGGAAGAAAAATACGCCAAATACTCCTGTTTTGCCTAATATCTAAATTATGTATCAATTACAGAGCAGATGACTGTGCGTAGATATTGGCTTGATAAAGTAAAATGAGGAATACAATCAAGATGTATCTCAATGAAAGGGAGAGTGGATAGCAATGCACAACTTTGCTGAGCTTTACTGTACACCCGTTCTTGCTTTTTTTCTGGTAAACAAGTTAATTATATATAAATGAGTACTCTTGCGAAGCTACTACATTTAGCTGTTTAGGAAGAGATATGAAATGACAAGACCTTGTTAAGCGCAGCTTACCTCTAGACACTTGAAGTTGTAAAGGAGTATGCCTACTTAGGACAGGTAGCAACCACCGAGCTGAACCGTGAGAGGGAAATAACTAGAAGAATAAGGATGTGTTGAATTACATTTGGCAAGCATTCTCAAATCACGAATGGTAATATGTCACTAACTCTGAAAAGGAACGTATATAACAGCTGCATCTTGCCGGTACTTACTTGCGGACCAAAAACCTGGACACTTACAAAGAGGGTATAGCTTTAATTGAGAGCGACGCAGCGAGCGATGGAAATGAAATTGATAGGTGTAACTTTAAGAGGCAAGGGGAGAGCAGAGTGGGTCAAGGAACAAACCAGGGGCTAAGGATATCACAGTTGAAATCAAGAAGAGGAAAGAAATCTGGCCTGGCACGCAGCACGTAGGCAGGATAGCTGCTGTTCATTAAAGGTGACTGACTAGATTTACAGAAAAGGCAACACACGAAGCGGAGACAGAAAGTTGATTGATTGATATGTGGGGCTTAACTCCCCGAAACTACCATAAGATTATGAGAAATGCCGCATTAGAGGGCTCCGGAAATTTCGACCACTTGGCGTTCTTTAACGTGAACCCAAATCTGAGCATACAGGCCTAAAACAATTCTGCCTCCATCAGAAATGCAGTGGCCGCAGCCGGGATTCAATTCCGCGACCTGCAGGTCAGCAGCAGAGTACCTTAACCTCAAGACCACTGCGGCGGGGCAGACAGAAAGTTGGCTGTGCTGATATGATTAAAACTTTCGCAGGTATGGCGTGGCAGCAGAAATCACAAGACCAGATTGATTGTAACAACAAGGGCCTTTGCCCGGCAGTCAGCGTAGTCAGGCTGCTGCTGCTGCTGCTGCTGCTGCTGCTGCTGCAGCAGATGATGATGTTCTATAAAATTTGAATGTAACATTTGTGATGAACACGTTTTTTTACTACTTGCCATAGCAAATAACGTCGATTGATTTCAATGATTTCGAAAGAAAGAAGCAATACAGAAACACCTATTGTCATGCTCTTAATCGCACCCACTTATAGGCATCACTTTGCTTCTCGCATCTCCCGTGCCTGAGTATTTAATAGTCAAGCATCAAGCTGACCCAGAGTCTGTATTTCCTGTCTTTGTAACCATACACGACATTAGTTTCAAGAAGAAGAGATACAAAAATATCACTTAAACTGCTGAGCATATGTAATTAGTGCATATGTACATTTTAAAGCTCCTTAAGCTTGCCTCCATGAGAAGTGAAAAGAATTAGCAAGAAAATGGCAGTTATGATTGCGACAAGTAAATAAAACTATGTGCAATAAAGGCAAATTTGTGATTAGTTGTATGAATGTGCGTACGAATATTAATAAATGAACAACATTATTTATGTCATAATAATAAACTAAATTTGCGTATAAAATAGCGAATGTTTGATAAAATGATTTCCCAGTAACTAATTCAGTGTTGGGGACTTTTTTTCCAGGTCCCTATGATTGGTATGACCTTAGAGTATGGAATTCTTCTTTAGAAGCAGGACCTGATGCGAAATGCGTAGAGATGTACAATGCTATATCTCGCAACAGCAACACGACGTATAGCTACACTCCTGAATGCCAGTGCATATTTTCAGTGCATATGTAACATGTGAAATAAAGCCACGATGACATGCACAAATACGCACAACGATAGTAAGTTCCTCCAGGCTGAAGGGCGACCAAAAGTCCCTGAAATACTGAGGTTGTTCTGCATCTTCGCTTTTTTTTTCAGGTCAACGAAGCGATGTTATGACAGGTGCCGCTTTCGTGAACAGAAGAAAAGCTGAATGTTGTTAGTTGCCCAAACACAGAACGACCTCAGTTCCCAGCAGTTGCGAAGCAACTGTCCAAGACGCCCGTCAGACCTGCGACGCAGTGGAAGGTGCTAAGAATCTCTGGGTCCGGACTGGCCACCATTCGAATCTGAACTTGGTTACGTTCAACGCTAGAACGCCATCTAGTGAGACTCATCTAGCTGTGATATTCGTAGGATTTGAGGGTGGTATATGGGATGTACCTCAGCATACAGTGCTGAAGCACAGAGACGTCCTATGCTACCGGGGATCAGTAGGGAGAAAAGAACGAGGGTGCGGTTCTTTATACACACGAATATCACTGACAACATAGAGGAATACTATAACATGAGTGAGAGAGTGGAAAGTATTATAATGAGGTTTAACGAAAGGCACAATAGGAAAATGGTACAGGTCTATGCACCTACATCGTGCCATGATGGTCAATCGCCGCAGAATTTTCTGGCTGAAGCGAAGGAAAGTATTTTTCTGTCACTGCCTTTATTTTGGTCCAATTTACGAAGGAAAGCATGGCAACTGCTTCATTTTTTTCCTGATCATTAATTGTAAGCAGGTATCAATTTATCTATGGAAGTATTACTTTTTTATTCATTACGGTCTGTTTTGTCTCGGTTCTAAATATCTCGATTTGAGAAATATAGAGGCATTCTAGCATTCCTGCTTTCTTGAGGAATACTAGAGTGTATGGGCGAAAACTGGTCTAATTACCGTCATTGAATCGTATTGCTCTCCTATAATGAGTCATAATTTTACTGTTATATCGCGTACGGATGTATATGAGATGATAAACCGAAGTGCAATTACACTATAGATAACTGATTGCCATGGTCATAATATTGAAATGAGGTACGGGAGAAGTAATTTTGCCGAAAAATGACTCAGATTAGCAGACCTACATTGACTCTCCATGTCTATCGCATTGAATGTGCCTGGTTAGTCATCGTTTCCTTCTTCGTCATCTGAATTTTGATTATCTTTTAATAGCACAATGCAAATATCATTGTCATGCTCGTTTACTGTACTCTCGACTCCATTCGAATCAAAGGGTCGTACATGTAGCATGACGGCGTATTTCTAAAGAAAACTAAGTATTCGCTGAGGTAGACTACTAAAGAAATCACAGCGTATCTAAGGAGTGTATGACGATGAGTGAGCGAAGCGTCTGTCAGTCCATCCACGCTTTCCTGCGTCCGTCCATCTGTCCAGCCGTCGGTGCACCCGTCCGTGCGTCCGTGTGTCTGCTCATCCGTCTATGCATCTGTCCATACGTGTGTCCGTCCGAGCATCCGTCCATCCGTGCGTCCGTCTTTTCGCTCGTGGGTCTGTCTGTCCGTTCGTTCATCCATCTGTCCTTCTATGTGTCTGTCCACCTGCCCATCTGTTCATCAGTCCGTCCGTCAATCTAGTGAGCACTCCAAGTACCGCCATGTCCCATCTTTTCATTATATATTCATCATATACAAGTACCGCCATCCAGCGGTCATTCGAAGGACTAAACTAGAGGTGGCACGGAAACAATAAAGACGCATTGTTGGAAACTAACTGGCGGCTGTTCTTGCAGCAAAATGCAGGTGAAATGCAGCACTGCAAACAGAACTAGACTTCTTTGTTTTCTCATAAGCGAACATGCTCTGTTAAGCACCAATCAAAGAACGCTTTGATCAGTCTTTTCTCATGCTTTATATACTTCCAGGCAGCGCACAAGACATACCTGCTTATTGATTTCTTGCAGAGTGCGATGTTACAACAAAGAAATCCAGGTACATAAAACAAACAATTTTAATAGAACCTACTATACAGCAATTATGTAGTGGGAGTGTGCGAATCGTTCTTTAAAATACAGTACGATGTTGCCTTGACATCACGTTGTGAGTGCTAGGAATGGTTCAGAGAGTGAATTTTCGAGAGGTACGTTTGGTCCTTCCGGTTGCAAATGCTTTTAACAGCAAGAAGAACTTTCTTAAAGAGCTGATGTGCAAAAAGTGAGGTAGCATCAAGGTTTTAAAATCACCAGGTTTTTATACCTACACTACCAAAATTAATAATAGCGTGAATATGATGGTACATCCAGTACATGTTTACACTTCATAGTACATCATTCGCTAACCTACAAAGTCACGTCTGAAACTGCATGATGCGACAAATTCCTGTTATCAGACTATGAATATCTTCTAATGCAACAAACCATACCTGTCTCTCAATGATGCGAGATATTGGTCATAAGAAAAGAACCAAGCGCTACGTAGAATGCTTTTGGACATTGCCTGTACTCAACATACGCTCTAACGCAGCTAAGTGTGCCTGACTCTTCATGACATGACAGATATAGGTCATCAGACTGCAGCTGAATTCTCTGTAATTCTGTATGGAAGACTTTTGGTCGTTTTTTGTTGTCGAAATATTCTCTAAAGCCACAAACCACAGGTAATACTTCATGAAGTGACAGATATCTTCCACAAGGTTGCAACTAAACCCTGCATGGAGATCTTTTGAAGTTTGTATGCAGCCAAAGTATTCTCTAATACAGCAAACCACACCCGAGTTTTCATGATGCAACAAATATCACTTGTAAAATTAGAACCTAGATAGCGAGGAACCATTTTTGACGTTATCTTTATTTTTATTTTGGAATGCAGGGCTACCGCAGGAGTGGTGTACGTAAATACAAAATGAAAGCATTTAAACAGTATCTTCACAGTATGTGTGCCAACAGAAAGAAATGTTGCGACCTCCTTGATACAGACGCGTAAAAATTGAGAAAAAAAGAACAATATTATCATACAAGTGCCTATACAAAAAGTGACACACACTGACTTCATGAATCGAACCAGGTAGATCATTCCAGTGTTTATATTTTTAGGGAAAAAAATAAACTACCTTGAACGCGTTAGTGAGCGCAAAGTGCCTCTAAGTGATATTGTGATCACAGATGAGTGTTTGGATGAAAGCTTTTACTCTTCGTCGGTAGTTTATATATCCTCCAACAGTTACAAAATACGCCTGACACTTGATGCGACAGATATTGGTTTTGACATTGCAGCCGAGCACTGCGTAGACGACTCTCGCATGTCTTCAGAAGTCAAAATACCCTTTACCGTAATAAATCGTGCCGGGAACTTGCGACAGATATCGGTCATAGGATTGCACTAGAGCACTGTATAGAGTTTTTTCGCAAGTTTTCTACATAGCTAAACTGGGTACCTTCATATTTGAAATATGCCCAGGTGAATTGATAGTCCAAATTTATGCATATACAAAACAAAGTGAACCGAAACGAAACACACTTTGAAAATGCATTCGATTTATAGTTCAAAATCATCTAATAATTTCTTCATCTCAAATCAGTCTGAAGGAACAGATAAATACACGCACAGTTCTGAATGGTGTCATAAGTCTCTGTGGTTGCAGATAAGGCACTGTTTGCATTTCTTTTAAGCAAAGTGAGGTGCAGTACTAGTGCACTTTCAATCATTTTGTACAGACTTGTGGTGACTTTTCCTAGGCTTCATGTTTGCCTGAATAAAACCCAAATTTGTCCATCCTCATTTCTCAATAATATTTCCAAAATGAATATTTTCAACACTGTCCCATAGTTGTTGAAACTTGTCGAAGTCAAGCCTCTGCATAAGTATATATAGTAGCAAGCAATTCCTGTCTCACTACAGACCAATATCACTTACTTCTAATACAACTGAACTGATTTAGCATATCATTCACAATCACATACTGAAATACCGTGAGTCAAAAAACCTACTCTCGAACATTCAACGTGGTTTTTGTGGTGGTTGCAGCACAATAACATAACTAGTGGAATTGGCGCATGACCTTTCCAGCAACCTTGACATTAGAAATAGGGCTAATGCGTTATTTACAGACTTCTCCAAAGCTTTTGACACCTTTATACACAATAGGCTGCTAGGTAAAATTGACGCTATATTTTAAACAACTCTAGATTAACCAACTGGATGGTTAGCTTTCTTAAATCTAGATCTCATCATGTGCCATTCAACAACACTTCGTCCTGAACTGTCGATTTAACTTCGGGTGCTCCACAGGGATCCGCCCGTATTAGACATGCTATGTTAACCAACTTGTTTTACACAAAATGATGCGTTTTGCTTCATTTGCCACTGCTATGACCGTGACTTGCCACCTTCATCAGGAATCGATTCCTTTAAACTCCCTCTCATATCCACCAGACGAGATACCAATTCCTTGAAATGTTTGCCTACATTTCTTCCCTCGCCTTGTCGACTACCTTCTGGTGATTAGATCTCATATCCTAGCACTTTTTTCAACTTTACGTTCCCAGCGCCTCCACTTGAAGCCTTTATTTACTCTCCGACACATTCTCAAGCACAGTTATTTTCCTAGAATTACTGAAAGGTACAACAAATTTCCCGGTACAACTTGCGAACCGTAATTGTCGCATTTTATAGACGCACTGTTATAATAAAGCATTGTTTTGCTTTGATGCCAACTTGTAATCAGTGTACTTTGTTCATGTAAATGCATCTCACTCCTGCAAAAGCCCTGTATAAGGCTCCATTACATGAAAATAAACAAATAAATAAATACATGCGTTTGTCTATGTTGGAGGACGAACCTTGAATATCAAAATTTGATCATAACTCATTCCACGCATTTTTCTCATCTCTTTTAGCATCGTCTTGCTGAACATTAACTACTTATTTAATCTTCTATTACTCATATAAAAGCCTGCGATTCACACCCTGATAAATTGTAAGAGAGAACAGTTGACAAAGTAGTCTCAGGAACACCTCAAGACGTATGGTATTTTGCTTCAGTCGTCAGTGTTGTCTTTAGCGATTCAATTAGACTTTTCTAAGCTACTTGCAGAGTGCGTTGTATAACCACCAGCATTTAAACCTTTGCGGTTATCCGTTTTATGTACGCTCGTGACGTTCCGACAAGTGCCGCTGGATGAGAACTTGCGTAGATTCTTCTCTGTCCAAAGGCACATATCTCTGCAGGGTTGTGGATACTTCTCCTTGGAGCTTGCGCACTGCAATGTCGCCACAATTGACTTATTGTATAAATAGCGGTTACAATTGTTTGGTTACATGATGTAGATTAGTCGGCAGAAGAACGATTATGGTGGATTGGAGATAAGGCTTGTCATACACCTACTCGTGTGCAACGGGCTGTTTCTGTGTCACGTGAAAACAGGTGTATTGAACAAGGATGTCTTAAGAATGGCTGAGTGGTAAGCTTTGGCGAAAATGAATGGGATATTACAAGAAACTGCGACAATCAATTAGTATATACGTTGGCAAGTGCTGATTCTGCAGTCTTTATGATGCACATTCGCAATTGTGATAAACAGTGGCTGCCTGAGGCGGCAACCGAGATAGCAAATAGAAATAGATCAGCATGGCTACTTTAGCATTTATCGACCAAACTTTATAACTAATTTTCATGGTGCATCAGCCAATGGAGCATAAGCAAGTATTTTCTGGCAGTCCGGTGAATAAACGAGGCGTCTCCGGTACAGTACATTCTTGAATTCCCGCACGCACTCCTCGCGAGGTCCCGTGGCTAGGGAAGAATTTCGCACTCGAAGTTCGTACCAACGAATGGGAGCTAGGAAAAAAACAAAAAATACAGATGAAGTTACGCAGCAGCTTTTAGTATGTACATCGCAATAATGAGAAACTACGGTATACACATAGCAAATAAAGTGACATTAGCGTTGACTGAAGCAAATATATTGCGATCTATGCGGCAGCGTGAAATGAAGTTTTTTTTTCGCCTTTTACAAGAATGTCATTTAATAGATGAGATCTCTTTCATGCTGCGTGAACTGTGTACAAAGACCAGAATTTTATATATTCACAAGCATTATGCTGTAATAAAAGCACTTATAGTCGGACTTCGACAATGAATCGGAACATTAACCAAGTATATAATTATAGAGATCATGATGAAAGTTATCAACAAATGACCACTGCGTAAATACTACTTCATTTTTTTGACTACGTCAATCCTCAGGTTATTTTGCAGAACAAGTGTGTGAGCGCTACTCATCTCGTAATTTGCGACTTCGTTCTCGATAAAAATACACTGACAAAGTGCCGTAAATAATTAGCCCAAAGCTTGAACCGCCAAGCACCCTCATTACGTATACGCGCACGTGACGTGAGTTTTTTGGCCGGTGAAATGGCTGGCAAACAAGTTTCATGTAGCCTACTGATCACGTCGTATTAATTGATTGATATGTGGGGTTTAACGTCCCAAAGCCACCATATGATTATGACAGACGCCGTAGGGGAAGGCTCCGGAAATTTTGACCACCTGGGGTTCTTTAACGTGCCACCACGTCGTATACCAAGCGTACCTCTAACAGTTAGCCCGGCATTCGAGTTGTGTGCCGAGCGCGGCTAAAAGCCTTCGACAGCTTCCGCGACGTTCGAGGTTTGTGATACTGCGTGCGCATCGCATCAAGTCAAAATGAGCCTCCTCCGTCCGGGATCTGCGAATGACCAACATTACGGGCAATAACTGATTAAGACTGTGATGCGGACTAAGCCTCCTTGCTTCGGTTGTCTGCGAAAGTCGTCTTCGGTCTTCTTCACACTTTTGCTGCGTTTAGCGCTCGGTGCTTCCCATATTTTGTTTGAATGAGCCGGGTTGCTTCAAAATGGGGCCCAGTTAACGAGAGTTTGGTGACATTAAGCAATGCGTATGCAGCCCTGGACAAGGGTACACGTCATGCTTTGTTCAGCAAGGGCTCATGAAAAACTGTGCTAATTAAGAATTGTGCTAATAAATAATGTTAATAAGGAAGTGCCAAATTATCAGGAACCATGGTAATTAACAATGTTTGCTATAAAAACCGTTGACTGTGGTCACTTCACGACAAGAAAAAAATGGCGGCAATTTTTCGTCTGTATATTTTTTCCAGAGTGAGCATAGAATAAAATTGTTTATGGGTACAAGCCACGAGTGCACAATGAAAGTAAATACTCAGTGGCAGATTTGCTTATTATTATGCAAAAAAGGATACCTACCAATGATTACATGTGTACCAATCAACGTCGTCATAACCACAGCGCAGCTGTGGTCGCGAGACATGAAGGAGACCTGCTCAATTTGGTTAAAAGTAGGCCCTGAAATAAATAAAAACACACTTTTTAGTTCATTAAATCTTTTAATACACTGCAGCCTTTATGAGTTTTATCGGGAACATATCAGCATAGTACGCATTTGTACGCATAGTAAGCATAGTGCAACATTTACGTAACTTTAAACTATGAGGGATTAATTTGACAAGGTATGGGTTTGAAATAGTCTGTACTGTAACTGATTTCTTCTTGTGCCAGAAGGTTTTTATACAACGTACGATGCAGCTATAGACAGGGAGCAAACGTTAAACTGAGTATGCTTGTTCAATTGTGTGTTTTATATAAGCCATATATAGGCCAAGCCAAAATATACTCATTTGCAGTCTTGTAAAAATGACAAAATGCTGTTCAAGTCAATATTTCTGTCCTGCTGTAAGAACCTAACACTTTATCTTATCAATTCATAACAGTGTGCTGTTGCATAGCCATCAAACAATAAAATATGGCTCCTTTACATTATCAGTACATGCTGCATTTTTTGGCCATGAAATGGCGTGTTTCAGGGGCCGAAAACGAAACAACGTTTTAGATGATGAAATAGGGAGGCACAGAACGTCTTAGGTTTATAACGTTGTAGATGTGGGCACAATAAAGTTTTACGTCATATGCCAACAATTTCTAGACAAAACCGTGCGTTACCTGTTTTTGCTGCAGAAAAGCAAAACCAGGGTCGTTGTTTATGAACGCACAAACGCACCAAAGTTTGAACATAGCCATGCGATTGCCATTTCACCATTTTAATGCGAAAGTTCTTCTGAGGACGCAACACCATTTTGGCACCATACTTGAATTATCCTCTAAAGCAAGCTGCTTTATCATCATTCATTTTTTTATTTGACTACTGCGACCGCCACTGGTGTCCGTGGCGGTGGCAGTGGTCAAATAAAACAAAGAGTGACTGATGATAAAGGAGCTTGCTCTGGAGGATAATTCTGATAAACTGTGAATGCTCCGTACATCCACTCAACCATCACACGAAAACGTGTGCTATCAGGTGCAGTGATTTAGGCAAAGGAACAATGCATAATAGTACAAAGTGCCGGTGGGTGCCAAAAGCCACAAAACACAATGTTTCAGATCCTGTTTAATACGTTCTTGGTTCTTGAGAGGGGGATATTTAAACCCCAACAAATAATACTTAATATTGTCACGAACAAAACAAGACCCGCAGCCAGGAGTTCACTTGAACCAGAGCAACGAAGATGTTCTCTTCTTCTTCGCGCCCAAAAACGCGTATGAGCCACCGTGGCTCGTTTATCAATGGTGGCATTACCCCCTCTCCCAAGAAGCATCGTCTCGATGCTGTACATGAAGGCAAAAAAAAAAAGAAAAGAAAATTAAATAAAAATTAGCATGCGAGCAAAATGAATGGCGTAAGGCGGAATAACGTAGTTGGTTGTGGGGACAAAAGTTAGAGAAATAAGAAAAATAGGAAAAATGTAAGGAAAGGACGAAACAAAAAGAAAGACGCGAAGTTACTAATAAAGTCAGTCACTCTCTGGCGATTCACAGCGCGAAAAGTATGGTTTGAGACGTGAAACGTGAATGACTTCAGTTTGCGGGGTGAAACGGGAACGTCTCGAATTGCCTTGTGGGAGAACCTCGTAAGTGACGTCACTGAGACGTCGCACAACCTTGTAAGGGCCGAAGTAGCGGCGAAGAAGCTTTTCGGAACGTCCACGCTGTCGGATAGGGGTCCACACCCAGACTTCATCACCTGGCTTAAAAATAACTTCACGGTGGCGAAGATTGTAGCGGCGCGCGTCTGCGGTTTGGTGACGTTGAATGCGGTGACGAGCAAGTTGACGGGCCTCTTCTGCGCACTGCGCGAATTTGGCGGCATCCGTGTGGTATATTCCTAAGTTGTCGGGCAGGAGCATGGCGTCGAGCATCGTCGTGACGTCACGACCGTGGACTAAGCGAAAAGGCGTGAAACCGGTACTTTCTTGAACAGCAGTGTTATACGCAAAAGTTACGTAGGGAAGTATGGTGTCCCAGTTCTTGTGATCGATGTCCACATACATTGACAGCATGTCTGCAATTGTCTTATTGAGTCGTTCAGTCAGCCCATTTGTTTGCGGGTGGTAAGCCGTTGTTTTACGATGTTCCGTGCCACTTAATCGAAAGACTTCCTGCAGCATCTCTGCGGTGAAAGCTGTCCCACGATCAGTTATGACGACAGCTGGAGCACCGTGACGTAAGACGATGCTGTTAACAAAAAATTGGGCGACATCTGCTGCGGTGGCTTTTGGAAGTGCCTTGGTTTCACAGTAGCGTGTTAAGTAGTCTGTAGCGACGACAATCCACCGGTTTCCAGACGAAGACGTGGGGAATGACCCCAGCAAGTCCATGCCAATCTGATGAAAGGGCGCCTTTGGTGGGCCAATTGGGTGCAGTAGTCCCGCTGGTCGTAAAGGTGGAATCTTACGTCGCTGACAGTCGCGACATGTGCGAACGTAGTGCTTCACAGTCTTCGCGAGACGTGGCCAGTAGTAGGAGCGTTGAATCCGTTGCAGCGTGCGCGTATAGCCGAGGTGTCCGGATGATGGCTCATCGTGACACGCACGTAAAATGTCACCACGAAGCGTAGTTGGCACAAGCAGATACATAGCTTGTGTAGGATGACAGTTCTTTTTATAAAGCACTCTATCACGGAAACAAAAGGAAGATAGTGAGCGCGCAAAGCTTCGGGGAAGGTGGGAATTGCGTCCTTCCAGGTAGTCAATGAGCAGGATGAGCTCCGAGTCATGACGCTGTTGCTCCGCTAAGCTGGTCGCTGATACGGCAGAAAGAAAAGTGTCGTCGTCTTCAAGGTCAGTGTTGGCATTTTCGACCGGTGCACGTGAGAGACAGTCGGCGTCGGTGTGTTTCCGCCCAGATTTGTGGACGATGGTGACATCGAAATCTTGTAGCCGAAGGCTCCATCGTGCTAGACGACCTGAGGGATCTTTGAGATTCGCGAGCCAACAAAGGGAATGGTGGTCGCTAACTACCCTGAATGGGCGGCCATACAAGTATGGGCGGAACTTTGTTATGGCCCAGACAACAGCGAGGCATTCCTTTTCGGTTGCAGAATAGTTTTTCTCCGCTGGGGATAACGTTCTGCTCGCATAAGCGATCACGCGCTCTATGCCATTTTGCCACTGAACTAATACCGCTCCTAGTCCAACGTTGCTGGCGTCAGTGTGTAATTCCGTGTCAGCGCTTTCGTCAAAATGACCTAGTACAGGCGGAGCCTGGAGGAGGTTTCGGAGGGTGTCGAACGCATGGCACTGATCGGGACCCCAAACAAACGAGACACCGTCTTTTGTAAGCTTGTTGAGGGGTTCAGCAATCTTCGAGAAGTTTTTGACAAAGCGCCTGTAATACGCACAGAGCCCCAGAAATCGGCGTAGGTCGCGCTTATTTGTGGGCACGAGAAAGGTGGCAACGGCGCGGGTTTTCTCGGGATCTGGGCGGATGCCAGCATGGCTCACAACGTGACCAAGGAACTTCAGTTCTTCATATCCAAAATGACATTTGTCGGGTTTGAGAGACTGCCCCGCTGTTCTAATTGCCTGAAGAACTGCATAAAGGCATTGGACGTGTTGTTCAAACGTGTCTGCAAAGACCACGACGTCATCAAGGTAAACAAGGCATGATTGCCATTTGAGCCCCGTGAGAACCGTATCCATCATTCTTTGAAAAGTAGCTGGCGCTGAGCATAGACCGAAAGGCAACACTTTAAACTCGTACAGACCGTCGGGAGTAATAAACGCCGTCTTTTCGCGGTCGCGCTCGTCCACTGCGATTTGCCAGTAGCAGCTACGCAAATCCATGGAGGAAAAATATTTAGCGTTGCGTATACGGTCCAACGAGTCATCTATCCGGGGTAGAGGATAAACGTCCTTTTTGGTGACCTTGTTCAGTTTACGGTAATCAACGCAAAAACGCAACGTACCATCCTTCTTCTTTACTAGCACAACTGGCGAAGCCCAGGGACTGGTCGATGGCTGAATGACGTCGTCCTGAAGCATCTGCTGGACTTGGTCACGTATAGCATCTTGCTCTTTTTGCGACACCCTATAGGCATGTTGTCGGATGGGTCTCTCAGTAGGTTCCGTGATGATACGATGTTGAGCAAGTGGTGTCTGTTTAACCCTTGACGTAGTGGCAAAGCAGTCTTGAAATGAGCCGAGTATACGCAAAAGGCTTTCTCGTTGAGCCGAAGGTAGTCTCTCGTTTACGTCGAGAGTGTTCACGAAGGCCTCGTCAGGGTGGCCATTCGATGAAAATGAAGCTAACGTAGATGGACCATCGGCATCGGCAAGTTCTTCACAATATGCAATGGCAGTGTGTCTCGTTAGGTGGCGGTATTCGTCGCTGAAGTTCGTGACCAGCAGGTGAGCATGCCTATTGCTAGGCTGAATGATTCCTCGGGCAACACAGATTTGTTGTGAAATAAGGAGAGACAAATTGGCCTCTGCAATTACCGCGTCGGACAAGTCCTGTCCCAATTCTACTTTGACAAAGAGGCTGCTTCGAGGTGGGAGAGTCAGAGAATCGTCGGTAACACGGAGCGCTCTTTTCCGGAATTGCATACTGTCAGTTGCAGCGCAAAAAGGATCCTCGAACGACACAAGTAATTCACGGAGGTCGATGACGGCGCCGTATTCACGAAGGAAGTCCATTCCTAGAATGACTGGCCGAGAGCACACGCGCAATACGAGGAAAGAGCCCGCAAATGTTGACGTACGTATTCGAATGCGTGCCGTGCACATACCAGTAGGCGTCACCAGATGACCACCTGCCGTGCGCAACTGAGGTCCTTGCCAAGGCGTCATAACCTTCCTCAGTTCAGATGCCAGTGTTGCGCTCATTACGGAATAGTCGGCACCGGTATCGACGAGGGCGTTAACAGCATGATTGTCGACGAAGACGGCAATTTCGGCAGAAACAATCTTTTTGCTGTCGGAGAACACTGCAAAACCGGAATCGCCCTCGTC